CATATAGCGCTCATGACATGCCTTTTTTTTTTCTCGTCGTCTTCGTCTTCTTTTCTTCTCATCGAATAGTAATGGTAAGTAGTTTGTTTCATGATGCATGTACACGTATGTTTGCTCTTCACGTCGACAACGAAAAAAAAAAGGAAAAAAAAGAGAAAGACGCCAGGCATGTGTTTTTTCTTTCTCTCTTCTTCTTCTTCCCATTTTCTTTTTCAAAAACTGGTTCGATAGTCGTGGCATATAAGACAGAGAGAAAACGAGTCGTCATCGTTGTCGTTTCAATGACCAAATAACAAAAAATCTGCCTTAGGCTTAATGCATTGACTAATCGAGAGAGATACTGTCCATTTATTCATATTCGAAAGATCGTTTTGTATTGATGGTGGTCAGTCAGTCAGTCATCTTTTCTCTCACCATAGCTTGAGGCGACTTTTTTTTCATACAATAGAAAGAGCTACACATCGACGAAAAGGTGAAATGTCGCAGAGAAAGAGAGGGAGGGGGAGAGAGAGAGCGAGAGAGAGAGAGAGAGAAAGAAAAAGACCGATATGAATTAATGCAATTATATGCACATACGCACATCGAAAAGAGAAAGAGACACATCGACGATGGGGCATCCAAGGGAGTACTTTTTTTTTTCTTTTTTTTTCTTGCTCATACGATTTTGATTAGCTTCAGAGACTTTAACTTATCATGTCATCAATTATTTAGCGCGCCTATGAAGTTCATTAACTATTGTGCATTCGTTTATGAATAATGATGGTCACGGTCTGATGGTAATAATTGAACATCAAAATAGGTACGTGTTTTGAAAAAACACCCTAAGTAGTAACAATATCATATTGAATATTTACCGGTAACACTCACTGAGCGCGAATGTTCGCAGTCAATTTGTAAAATAAAATTATTGACTAGAGCACTTCGTGCTTTGGGAAATCCGGCATTAACATCTATATATTATCTAAATCAATCATTAATTACTTTGATTTTAAAACAAAAAAAAAAATGTTGAATGAATTTCTTTTGTTACAAAAAAAGAAACCTTCTCAATTGACTTGATTAATTATTAGTTTATTTGTATTGAAAACAATAGACCAGAAGACAATGTATAATTATAAAAATTGCTTTTTTTTTTTTTCATTATTGAGAATAAAAAGAAAAATGTAATTAAGATCACGTTTTACTCATTGTCTATTTAAAATTTCTCTAAAATATAATCTGATGTTTTATTTTTTTTTTTTTTAACAATAGAATTGAAATTTTAGAAAGTTTTTGTGATTTTTATTTACTTTTTTGTATTGAATTAAGATTAATCATTGTTTTATGAATAATAAAGAAAAAGTGTTACTAAATAAATGAATGAGAAAAAAAAAGGCAAAACTTTTATAAAAGAGAACAATCATTTGAAAAGAAAAAAAACATATGAATAATGCAACAAATAAAATATGTTAAATTAAATCTTATAGTTCTTATAACAATTTGATCTAAAAACCAGGCCTTTTGATTAGGGCATCTTTTTTAAACAGTTTATTTAGATAATTGTATTCAACTGAAATTAAAATTCTAAAGAAATTTAATTTATTTATCATATTGATGTTTGATGATGATCAAGAGAAATATTTGTTTACATATAACTAATCGATGATCAATACAAAATATTGTAAAGGCGGATTGATTCAATGATTATCTGATAGTTTTTGAAGATAGGATAAAGGAAGTAATTGATTTTAATGTAAAACATTCAATAAACATTGATCTATTGTTTTATAAATATATGTTTCGATATACTTCATTTTTTAGCTTTTCGCAAGTCAATATGATATTCAAATAAAGAAATTTATCGGAAATGAATTCATGTTTATTTTGGTAAACGACAAAATATGTGAGAGAAAAAGAAATGATCGATCTGAAATGTTGTAGAAATTCGAAATGAACTTAAAAACTTTCGTTTATTTGATATAGTGACGTAACTAGGAGATCGTAGGTGGTAGGGCAGTACTCTACACGTTTGAAAGTAGTCGATGCCATATAATATCAATGATGGTAATTATTAGGTTGTTCTCTCGTCAGCTAGTAGGGCGGCGCTCGGTTCTAGTCAACCTTTAGTTAGGCTATTAATTTGAAATTGATGATTAAGATAAATATATATTTTCATAAATTAGAGATTCTTTGTTATTAGAATTCTGTTTGAATTAAATAGATTAACGTTGAAATCTCATTTTGCTATGTTTTCTTCAATATTGCATAGAGATAGAAAATCGATGTATAGTTCTTCAAGTAGCTTAAGATTTCGTCCGAATCAATTTCGCACTAGGTACATTCAAACCACCTGAAGTTCGAAGAATATGTTGGAGCTATAGTGGCGAGACTATGATAATATTTTCAGTTTTATATCATGAATTTTGACAGAAATATTTATCAAACAAGAATCATAAATAGTTCATTTGATAAATCAAATTTCTTTGAGCAGGCTCATTATATACATTTAATTTTTCTTTTGTTTGAAAAAGTATGTCAGGATGTAGTGCAGTACAAAACCTTTTTTTTTTGTAAATTCTAACTTTTTAGGCAGAGAAAAGGGATCACAAGGTCAATGACTCAAAAAACTCTTTAAAAATGGGCGTCTATTTATGTAAGTGTTTGTATATAAAATAAAAAAAAAAGCTAAATTAAAAAGAAAGGACTCCGTACTGCACTGTACCTTGACATGTTCTTTCAAACAAAAAAAGAAATTAAATATATACAATGAAGTCTCACAGAGAAACCTAGAATATGCGATTAAAAAAGTATAAAAAAAGAACATTTTCAGTTTTCTAGAAAACTGCTATTTTTTGAAACATAAGAAGATGGAAATCATGAAAAATTTTGGTGTCAAATAAAAAAATCATGCTGTTTCTGATGAAACTTTACTTTAAACATTCAAAAATCGAATTTTTATGACAGCAATAGAGAATTGTATTTTTATCAAACAAAATTTTTCATTAGAAAAAGTTCAAAAACGCTTCAGTTTCTCTGGTCTAGTACATCCAATCGAGCTGAAACTTTTTTTCACGTATACTCTGCATTGTTTGGGGATGGATATTTTTGCTTTTTGTTTCAAACAGTGTCGAGTGTCTGTAAAAAAATTTTTCAGTCCGATCAAAGATAGCGTCTCGAGGTAACGAAGTCTATTGTAATCCCAGTATCTAATAACTAGAAGACAGCATCCGTGATGACAACGTTTGCTCTGTTGATTAAGATCTACCTGGTCTATTCTACACAAACACCGGAAAGGCACTCTTAATCGTAACAAGATTCGGTAGAAGAATTTTAAAGTGATTGACAAAAAAAAGAAATCAATACAATGATAAAACATGTTTATTGATAAATTACTGCAATATACCAAAGTATGTCAATCCATCTAAATCAACAAAAGACTAGACAGAACGTGTGACTTTTTATATTGACTGTTAATCACTTAACACGTGGCCATAGGTCAAATTTGTAACAAGAATAATTATCAATATAGTGTGTTGTCACATATCTTCAATTGACAGCATACTTTCTGTAAAAAAATATTGAAAAAAAAAAATTCTTTTTTTTCATTTCAATCTCAAGGTAAGAAATAACCATTTGAATATTAATTTCTATTTAAAAAAAAATCAAAAGCTATCGAGATTTATTATGCATATTATTAAATTAAAATAATATAATACATAACCTTCAATCAATATTTCAGATGATTTCTGAGTTATCACAAGATTATATCTTCGTTTTACTATAAGAGAGCTTAGTGTTGTCTTTTTCTTTTACAGCTGCTTATATTCGCTGATTAAATTCGCATAGAAATTGGATCACAAATGTGTATGCTCACATACAAGTAGATCAGGATCGTGTATCATCATTAAAAAAGAATAAAAAAAATTTATATATATATATATATATAATCATTTATAATATTCAAATACTTTCATTCGTTTGCTACAGTTCTTATTTGATATTGTCTTACAATGTATGAACAACATTCAAAAGGATATTATAATGCAATAGAACAACGTTTCAATGATAAATTTCCTTTATCAATTGTAGCAGCATTAGCTGTTATACAAATGTTAACTACATTTGTTATATTTGCTCTTGAAATTGGGCATAATATTCTTCATATAAAATTAACTAATTTATTTGTTGGATTTTGGACAACTATACCATTTACTATTTTATGGATATCAATGTTTGCAGTTGGTAAGAATTTATTTTGAAATATTATAATAATTGTGTTTAATCTAAACAAACAAATCTCAAGAACATAAGAAAAGAAAATTTTCAATTTTTAATTTAGTTTGTTGTTGTCGTCGACGAAGTTGTGCTACACATGCTGTTATACAAAATATATTTGGTTTAATATTTGCTTGTATTTTAATTGGATTTAATGCTGTTTTTATTCGAGAACCAAATAGATGTTTTTTTAGTGAAGGAATTTGTCAAACATTAGCATGGACAAGTTATATATCAAATTCAATTGAATGTTTAGTTGATGGTGTTTCAGATGGTTGTGGAAATACCCGTATATCTTTAATATTAGTTCAACTTATATCTGGTATTCTTATGGCTGTCACTTGTGTCATTTATTTGACTATTTATTGTATAATATATGCACGAGTATCAAAAACAAATCGACGTCAAATAACAACACCAGCTGAAGCTGTTATGGCACCTGTGTATCAATCGAATCAGAAAATATTACCTTTGACTATTAGTCATCATCATCAATCTTGTACACTTTCTTCTCATCCCTATCAAGGACCAGTACCTGTAATGATGGCTGTTTATCCACCACAAGCACCATCATTATCATCGGATATTAATTATCTTAATCATATTCCATTAAATCAATATTCAACAAAATATTCACAATTAACAAATGAACGATTTTAATTAAACAAAAAACACAAGAAACTTGTAAATCATTTTACAATAAATGAAAAAGAAAAATAAGTCATTTTTTTTTGTCTGTGTGTTATTTAACGATTGAGTTGATCAAGTATTGTTTCAATTCGATCTTCATCGACAAGGCCAGTAAATCGAGCGATTTCTTTACCATTTTTTATAGCCAATACTAAAAAAAAGAGATATTGATAAATAAAAATATCTCAATTTGTAGAATGATATAACTGAAGGTCTTGTTTAAAAATTTGATTTATCCTTATTATTTGTCAGTTTATTCTATAATAATATTAACAAATCTTCAAAGTCCTTGTAAATAGACATACAATCTTATGTTTTTACTGTGCATACATCACCTCTAGTTCACACGAAAGATGATATCTTCAAATCAAACTTGATAAACTATTCATACTGATTAACACTAGGAAGCATATCAAATAGAATAACCAAAGCTGACTATATCTGGTTCATAGATTCTATAAGAAATTATTTGTTTTTCAAATGTTAGATTTAAAAAAATTCAATTTTTACCTGTCGGTACTGCTTTCACTTTATATTTACTGCTTAATTCACTGAATTTATCTATATCAATTTTTGCCAATGTAATATATTGATCATCAGATGAAGATTTAACATTTTTATTATAATTTGTAATTAATTTTTCTAATCGAGGTTCTGTTTTTAAAAAAAATTAAAAACTAGATTTATTAAGATCAATATCATACTCATTACCTAAAATTCTACATGGTCCACACCTTAAACATAAATTCTTCATCATAATTTAAACATAAAAAATTCTTACCAACTAGCTCGAAAATCGACTAGAAATGGTTTTTTACTATCAAGAACTTGTTTTTGAAAATCTGCTTCATCTTGCACATGAAATATATCCTTAGATAAGTATAAAATCGATGTATGAAATTGTCGACATGTATTTTTTAGCGATAATTTTTGTATGTTACATTTAATTAATTGTAAACAATATACCGACATTGTATTCAAAATTAAATATATCTATAAAAATGATTTCATTCATACTATTATCGGTTCCCGAAGTCAAGGCACTGGGTTGTTTTTTGAATATCTTTTGATAGGAGAACGATAAAGACCTGCGGTTTTCAGCGTTTGATAGTTAAAATTCAGGAGCATATCTTCATAACGAAAATCTTTTCTTGAAAAAGATCCAAAAAGTGTTTTTTCATAGGATCTCGGGAAAATTACGCTGAATTTCTGAAAACTGCCATAAAAGTCTCTTGATTTTTTTTACATATTTGAGATCAGCATGTAAAACTGAGTCGGTCGATTTATGCATGCTTCAAATCTTTTCACGAACTTTTTTTTGTTGAAAAGTTTACTCCTAGTCCCTCTGAGGGATAAGGTCAACAAAATGAACTCAGTCAAAAAGTCACTTGAACAGTGGAAAGCAATTTTGCAGCTTCTAAACTCCTAGTAGAAGATAAAATGGCAAATGACTAAACAATAAAAACAGCGTTTTGACTGCATTCATTTTTTGAGCTACCCTCATGAAGACTGGTGCATTTTTCGACAAAGCAAAAAATGTTCGTGAACATATGGCAGTTTTCAGAAATTCAGCGTGATTTTCCAGAGAGCCTATGAAAAACCGATTTTCGGATCTTTTTTCAGAAAAGATTTTGCTTATGAAAATATGCTCCTGGATCTTGGCTATCGAACGCTGAAAATTGCAGGTCTTTATCTTCTTCCTATCAAAAAATAACCGAGTGCCTTGACTTCGGGAACCGATAATAGTTTATTTCTCTATACAAATAGAAAAAAAAAAATAAATTTCTGCAAAATGCAGAATAATCAATAACAGATAGACACACAAATTTCAAAAATAATACAAAAAAAAAACAAAAAAGATCATAGAAATGTTTTGTTTTCAAAAACGAAAACGAAAAATACACAGTCAATTTTATATTTACATATCACAACATATTTTTTTCATATTCTATAAATAACGAATCATCTATCATGTTGGACTTATATAAGTCGATTAGAAAATGGAAGACGTTTTTTTATTGTTGATACTTGTTCATCTTCACATGTTCTAAAAAATAAAGGATTAATTAATTTAAATAAATAATGAATAAATATATATTCAAATTCAATGTTGTATTCAGATTATTTCGTTTTCAAGAGACGATATTTAACTCCGTGGTCGGATGAATACCTTTCCTTCAGAGCATAGATATATACTACATGCTACAATGACCATCTATTCCAGAACAGTCAACCCAATTCCTGGAGGATCACCGCTCTCTCCGACTTCACGCTAATTAAAAACACTGTTTAAATGATATCTAGAAAAACTTACTTTATGGAGCTATTGGATACAGATGATAACTAGAAAGAAGAAAGAAAAATGTAAAAATATATTTTTTTATACATTAAGGATAAAGAACAATTTACTTCATTATCCATTGTAAACCAAAGAGAAAGATCTAATGTATTTAATTGAGCATGTTTAGCATTGTCTAATGCAAGAAATATATTTCCTATTGGAAAATGATAATGTTCGAGAATAAAACGAACAAAATCAATTGAATATAATGAAATATTATTTAAAGACTGAACATGAACTAACAAATCGATTTGTGTAAATATATTAGAATCACATTCACGTGTTATACGTAGAGAATGATATTTAATAGCTAAAGCCTATCAAAAAAAAACACAATATATATTCTTCTGTATATTGATATGATGAAAATGTATATTTCTTACATAATCTTGAATAATATCAATGTCAATATTTGAATTAATTATTTTAAGTAAAGTACAAATATTGAAATCAGGTATAAGTATAGTTTTTTGATAATGTATAAAAATAATAGGTAATTTTTGATTAATATTATTTGCTTGTATATGAATAAGTTTCACAAGAGGTTCATTTGAAATAGATGAAGATGGCACTGATGAATTATTTAGACTAGTTGGACGAGATTTAACAAGAGACCGTGTTAAAGCTCTAGAGAAAGAGAGAGTGACAGAGAGATTAAAAAAATACTAACGTTTAAGTTATTACTCACTCTCCTAATTGATTGTATAAAGCAATGACTGGATGAATTGATGGATTACTATTGCTGGCACAGTTTTTGTCAGACTAAAAGAAAAACAGTTATATAAAGAATTCAATAAAATTTTAATTCGTTTAGTTTCTAATTTATTTTTTTTTTAGGCAACTACTGTTGAAATACTTGTATCTTTTTATTTAATAATAATTCATTTAGTCTAATGAGAATCAACTGATATTAAGATTGTAGAAGCTAAATGAATTTTTGTTACTACATCCAACTTATGAGGGAAGGTGTGAATGGGTATATTCTCTTCACACACATGTACATGCCACACCTACAACACATTGTCACCTGTATGTACGAGACAGAATGAATCACGAAGATATAGTGTAATAGATTAATGAAGTATAGAAAATGGTAAATAATTAAGCAAACTACTACATCAGATGTATATCACTAGAATGAGCATACTCAAACCTATACGCAACTAGAAAGGATTAAATTCAATAAAAAATTTCTTACTCGAACAATCGTTTGATTGTTATCATCAATATTTGTTGATTGTACAATGGCTTTAGCTTTTTTAATATGTATCATATAATCATTAACACATACATATTGTCCTGAATTAATAACAAATAAATTTGTTTGAAAACATCCATCATCTCCAAATGATATAAATTCTATTTCAGGTAAAACTTGATCAATAACAGCTAAAAATTGATCAGTTGCATCAGTTGGCCATGTTAAATCAACATTGTCATTATTTATTGGTGATATATGAGCTAAACGACATGTTAATGAAAAAACCAAATGACGATGAAAACAATCAATTAAATGACGAAGACGATTTATAGGTACATATTCATCCCATGTACCTAAATCAACATAAAATAAGTTAACTGTATTATCATTTACATCAAAATCAAGTATTTGTGAACGATTCCAAATTTTATCATTATCTGATGATTTTGGATCAGCACATATAACACATAAATTAGTAAGTATTTGTTCTGGTCTTACTAAATATTGTCTATCATCAAGTTCATTATAAAAATCATTTATTTCACGTTGAAATTTATCAAATTCAATTGCATCTTGTTTAAGTTGAATTGTAAAACAATGAGGATTTAATGCTGCTATAATCATACATTCATGAGTTTGTTTAAGAAGATGATTAGGAATATAAAATTCATATGAACAACGATTAGAAACAATTGATTGATTTTTATATTCAAGTACTTTTGATAATTTATTATTTGTTGTATTTTGACAAAATAATATTTGTTCAGTTGCACATGTACTCGATTTTAAACATGATTTTGTTTGACAAGATATTGATTGTAATTTTGGACGAACTAGAGAAAAAAAAAACGAAAATTCAATCAAATCAAACAATTATCTTTTTAATTTTGATATTAGCGGATTCAGCTGAGAAAGACGTCACTCATATGCAAAAAAAAATTTTCTTATGGTAAACTTAATCAGACGAGTGTCTTTTAGTGTATGACAGGAATAGAGCATATAGTCTACATCACATTTATATGCAATTCAAAAAACTAGTTTCATGGTGTAAAAGATACAGAATTTATTCAGACTATTCACTGGTATGTTAATGCAATAAATTGCTGGTAAGGTAGTATCTTATTTTGAAGATTTTCTTCAAGCCTTTAATTCGAAAAGTAATTGTTGTTGTATCAGATGATGCAGAATTTCATGTTCTATAAAGTTAGTTCCTCTTTGCGGTTTGCATTGTTTTAATTGCAGATGACAGAGTTGAGATATACTTATTCCAATGGAATCACACCAATAGTAGATCATCATCTAGTTACTGTAGGATTTTGTGTACCAGTTATGGAAACTTTGTCGTATTTTTTTTATGCCTTATTTGAATTACGCCAATAATACTTATAAATATTAATCTATTTTTTCCTAATGTACAATAGTTTCTTATCCGGATTTCCTCTCCCAGAGGGGAGATTTAAAACTCTGGGAAAATGAACATGTATTTCTCGAAACATACACCAATGGTGAATGCTACAATAATCACCAATTCCATCTTGTTTCTCACACTGCACTGAAATGTGACCTAAAACCAAATAATAATTTTTGAGACAAGAAAAAAGGAAAAATAAAAACCATTCAACTGATATATTTTCAAAAAGAAGTATTTTCTCTATAAAAATTTCAAATAGACATCATAAAACTTTTCATGCGTTTTAACACTGAAACCTGATTAATCGCATGAATATTATCAATTTACTAACGGATTACATACGATCTCTCACATTGCACTTCAAAATTACATCCGATATTCAATATACGATAGTGATTATATTTCCGGAAATTGAATTAAAAAGCTTCAATCAAAAATAGCCGTACTTGTGCATACTATCGACTACCTCTTTAGAACAGTATGTAGACAATTGATTTACTTTATTTCATCAATGATAAGTACAGCATTCCAACAAATGATACATTCATTCTCAAACATAAAGATAGTATAACGACAATATAAGTTGTTTTCCACTAATTAATTTTTGCTTGTTATGCATATTAAGAATATAATCAATGTTTGTCTACCGAAAATCACTCACTCTGTAGAATAATTTTTGATTGTAATACATCCATTTCGGCCATGATAAAACATAGCCTAAAGAAAAAAAACGTATTTCCTCTCGATTGAATAACAATAAAATAACTATTTTTATTTTTTTGCAAAACAAATCTAAAATAAAAATTCGAAGAAAAAAAAAAGAAATTTAAGTTAAACACGAAGAAGAAAAAAAAACAAGATTGTTCTGCTAGATTCCCCTTTTTCTTAGGAAGACAAAAAGAAAACAAATTAAAGTTCTTTTTTATGTTCTTGTTGTTCCTTTTCAAGTCGTTGATGTTGTTCTTCAGATGCTTTTGGTTGTGCACCAATACCAAGATCTTTATTAACGATTTCTTTTCTCTTGCCTTTTGGTCGTTTTTGTATTGCTATTATACCAATAATATATAATATCAATGTAATAACATGACCAATAAAATAAACACTTTTCCAATATTTCCATGTATAATGAAAATGTTTTAGAATAAAACCGATCGACATATAATCGAACATTCGTGTACGAAAAAACCATGAACAAATATCATAAACACGAATCCATCGACTATTTGCTGGAATATGACGACGTACACCGGCTTCCATAACATTTTCAGCAAGAATACATGGAGTTGTTGTCACCATACCCATATAATAACCCAAATGAATACCATGCCAATAAGCAGAAACAAACATAGTAACTGGATGACTAAAAATATCATAATAATAAAGAAAATTATCATTGAAAACTATTAAATTAAATTAAGTACTGTGCATAAAGATTTATACAATAGAATAAAGCGAGTATAGAAAAAAATCTGACAGAAAAATACTTCAAATTTCTTTTATTAATAAAAGTATGAAGAATATCATGACAGATAAGTCTTCTTATTAACTGAATAACTTCTAGTTTAATTTTTCACTTTGTACAAAAAAACTGTACTGAAATTAAGGAAACGCTTCTTACGGGATGCAATGAAAATTATTATTTCTCATTCCAAAAGTGTTGAGAGCGTACGTCATGAACCTCTAACACCACTGAACATGGTCAATTTTGGATTACTTTAGTTAGAGAAAAAAAGTCGCGGTACATGCACACAAAGTTTGTTTTGTGTTATTGTCAAAATCAGTTTTTGAACAACAAAAAATGAAACTTTTTCCCCCCACGATACGTTCAATCGAACTCAACATCTTTTATCGGTACTTTGATCTACTTGAGGATGCGTGTCGTTTTTCTTCAAAATATTTTTCCTACGAAATTTGACAGTGTCTAAAAACTTAGTATCATTGAAAAAAAAGTCACATTTTTTAATAGTGCTTCTGGTATTTTGCTTTTCCTGAGCTTTAGCAACAATAGTTTTGAATGAGAAAAAAAACAACACGCAGTCCGATTTAATCCTAGGTGCCATTAAAAAAATTTCATGATTTTCTGTCGAGCTGTTCCGAAAAAAGGAGTGACATCCTGTAAACACATAAATAAATTGTTTCGTTCGTCAGAACATAATTTTGAAACTTTATGTTCTTAGAAAAAAAGATATATATATATATATAATGACATTTATGTTTAGCGTTTTAATAAAAGCAGATAGTGTTTATTTTTAAGAAATATTCATTCATAATAGACCTATCAAATAAGAAATAAGTTTCTTTTTTTCTTACGCTATTTGTCGCCATTTAATTCGTTTATAAATACATGTTGCCATCCAATATTGAACACTCATATTCCAATATCTCAGTACTTCTTTAACTGTTAATGCTGATTCACATTTCCATTCATCTATATTATGAACAGTTTCAAAATCATAAACTATTGTATTTGGTGCTTGTTCATAACTAAAGTAAAACATCTTAATAATCAATAAGAATCATGAATAAAAGCTTACGCGTGTTTTAAAGCAACAAGATCTGTTGGACCTTGACCTAATTACAAAATTAATTTAATTTAAAATTAAAAACAAAAATCTAATATGTATAATTAAATTTTTTACCTGGTTTAGGTTTACTAGCTAATGGATAAGCTCCAAAACCTGCTGACATACACATACATTCAGCTAATAACCAAGCTGAATAAAATCGAAAACGAAATAATGTAAATATAAGTGGCATATAAAGTAATCGATACCAAAGTGGATTTGTATAAAATTTGTCATCAAGTGCATCCTAATCAAAAATATATCTTTCAAAAAAAAATTTAATATGCATATTGATTTGGGTGAAAATATTTCTGATCACCAAAAAAAGATACATTTGATCACTATTTTTTAGTTTCTTCATTTCAAAATATTTATTTCTGAAATAATGCAACATTCACAATAAGAAAAGTCTGTATACTATTAACAACGTATTAAAAAATCACAAAGACCTA